GACCAAATACACAAACTGTGATATATCTTTGATGAGAAAATACAAGAGTTTAAGTAGAGTATAAAGGGCAGATGAATATTAAATGCATACTGTTAAGGGAAAGAAGTTGCTTTGACAGGGTGATATAGGATCTTGAATATATCACTTCCAGAAAAGGTAAAAGCTATAAAAATAATTTTACAAAATAAGCGGTTTTCAGTGGTATAGAGGAGGGAGAGTTGTTGAACACAGTAACAAAGCTTTTTTTAAAAACTCAGTTAAGAAGTCTGTGAGATGCTTTTGGTTGGTGAATCTACGCATTTGTCAAGCAAGTATATTTAGAAGCATAAAAATATGACAACACATACAAAGTTTCTGACACTGAAAACAGTTTGTGGTGTTATTGTTTCCTCATTCATAACAGAAAAAAGTGTGATTTTTAAAAATAATTGCACAGAGTCAGTGCTCCATATCCACAGATTCTATATCCATGGGTTCAATCTACTTTGGATCAGAAACAAATTTTTAAAGTATCTATTGAATTCCTAAAGAGTTCTTTTTCTGGTTATTCTCTTAATACCAGGGTAACATCTATTAACATAGCAGTGTCAGTAAATCTAAGATGACTTAAAATGTACAGGACATTGTGCCTAAGTTATGTGCAAATATTATGCCATTTTGTGTCAAGAACTTGGACATCTGAGGGCTTTACTGTCTGAAGGGGGATCTGGGACCAGTTCCCTAATACCAAAGGATGGCTGTTTTTCTGATAATCAGAACATTCTGTTTTGGCCAAACATTAATTGGTTTATATCTACTTGCCTCATTTGCTCGTAGGCGGGGTATTTGGAAGCTGTTTGGTTTATGAAGGCTTACAACCCACTTGCTGTTAGGAGGCTGGTTTGGTAGAAATAAGCGCATGTCCGGGGGCCTGGATCTCCACAGCTCTTCCCTTCCCTTTCTCTGCTTCCTCTTTGCAGTGCCGTGGTTAGCTCTCCACCATATCTCTCTGCATGCTCTCCTGCCATGGAGTGGGCTGAACACACAGGAACTGAAAATTCTAAAATGTGAGCCAAATAAGCCTCTCCTCCTTTAAATTGTAGGTGTTCGGTATTGTTTCCTCTGGACTTCAAAATATTAATGAAACCAGAGTCTGCATGTACTATTTTATGCTTCAGGTGACTGATTATTTGAGAGCATTTTGCACAAATGAGCTTTTACATGTTTACACAATCAGCCACAGACTTCTGGTGCCATGTCCAAGTGATGTATTTCCATCATAGCACAGCCTCTTGCTGTGTATGTTTGGGTCATGATGTCCTAGTGAACTGGCACCATGATCAGTGGAAGTGTTGTTGAGAATTATTTTTGGACTCTAACTGCAATAGGTAAATGGATATGTAAAATGCAAATTTTACAAAATTATAGGACAATTTGAAGGGATTGTAAGACCTTTTTGCAGGACTTTTAAAGAACCTGTGTAGGAGAAAATTGAGTGGGAAGTCTGAGTTTCATTGGCATCACAAAAAAATCAGACTTATTGCTGCTAGAGTGAGCTCAGTGTAGCTTGGTACCCACCAGCCTCTGGGCTCAATCTGTTTAATCCTAAACCCTCTTCAGCCTTTGAAAAAAATTCTTTGGAATTCTTTAGTGTTATGTCAAATTTTAATGTGAAGTAGCAGTGAAGATTATCAGACTGAGAATGGGTAAATGAGGTATTTTGGGAGAATAAATAGTACATAAAATAACTTTGAAAATAGAAAAGTAAACAGGCTAAGAAATACAGTATAATGCTAAGCAGCAATAGCATCCCTTGAAATTCATAAGAAGTGATTTACAGAAAGACTAGTAGGCTTGATGGTATATTATATCCCATGTATAGATACAGAATAGGTGAACAATAGATTGGAGCAGGGGTATGGCTTATCAAACAAAAATTAGGATAGGAGATGGGACCAAAGTGGGAGAAGCTATGTTCAAGAGAATGATTGTAATTCTGCACCATGGATTTTAATAACTGCCTAAGGAGAGCAGAGAAGACAGCAAAATTTGACAATAAATAAAAACTGAGAGAAAAGGGGATTTCTAGGCCTTGGATATACAATGGAATGTACAGAATTGAGAGATGTATTGATTGTCATGAATGGAATTCTGTCTCTAGGACAAGCACAAAACTGATAGGCTAGATTAGGGTTAAAGGCAAATTCACAATGAGGAGAGTTCAAGGACCTAAATTGGCAAGATGCTGAAAGGATTGTGTATACATTCATATAAAGATCCCTAACTCTCAAGATAGGAGTGCTGTCATGGTGTGTGTCTAGATGTCCCTTCAGTGCCTCATGCATTCATGGAGGTGTGCTTTTTGGAGGCAGCTGAATTGAGAGTTTGTGACTGATTCTTTGTCAAGTGCTGGGATTATGGATGTGAGTGCTACACCCATCTGAGTGCATGGCTTATGGTTTGAGTCTAGATGTCCCCACAAGGACACATGCAGTCACGGAATTGGGCTTCTAGAATCTGTGATTGATTCATGACCCAATGCTGAGTGCTACACCTACCCTAGGGTGGGTAGCCTACATACAATGTAAGGGAAAGAGTATTCTCTACCTCCTTCCATTTGTGCTTTTGTTGTTTTTGCTGTCTTCTGCCACCATGAACAGTTGACCCTCTGCCATGCCACCTTGCTTTGGATCCAGTTGACTATGAACTGAAACTTCCACAAACTCTGAGCTACATAAATCTCTCTGACCTTAATTTGGGGTATTGGTACTTTGTCTAAGCTATGAGAGAAAAGTAACAAAAACAAGTGCAGGGAATTGATGTTAGTGATTCAGGTGCTAAAACTACTCAGCAAGCAGATGAGAAAACCTGGGAGTTAGTACGTGAAAGAAACAGTGAAGCCTATGAGTACCATGTGATAGATAACCTGATACTAAGAGATTAAACTCTAGGTGTGAATGTGTGTGTGTGTGTGTGTGTGTGTGTGTGTGTGTGTGCGCGTGTGTGCTGCAGGAGGTGGGTAATGACCAGCTGACCCAAAATGGTAATGAGGAGTAAAGTACTCATCTTCACACCCAGGGACAGCTGTATAGAGGAACAGCCACCAACTGAGAGGCCTCAAGCAGCTAATATGTCCTCAGAAGAGAGCTTTGCTTTAATTTTGAGTAGATGATAAAGGAAAATTTCTGAGTGTACACTGGACTTGCTCATTGTGGAGTGAAATGCCAAAGGACATATGTTATATCACAACACAGATGACTGTCATAATTTCCTGGTTTCTGTAGTATTGTGAAGGAAGGTTTATATGACCTGACGCAGGGTACCATATTCTTTTAATAAACAGAAGCAACATAATAGAGACTGGCATCAAGTTCATAGTTTGTATATCCAAAAACAAAACAAGAAAATTCTTGAAGTTAACAAGGTAGAGTTAGCAGTGATGCCTCTGGGTGGTCACTAACATTAATGATGGGAAATTTTATATCTACTTTACCACTGCTCTAATACCCTTCTCAGTGTGCAGTGTGAGGTAATTAAAATGTGAATATAGTCAGCTCTGTCTACCAATGGGTTCCTGACTCAACCGATCATTAACATAAAACATTAGGAACATTATGCATGTGGTACATGTACAGACATGTTTCTCATTACTTATTATGCCTGAAAATAATATGAAAGAATAGGTAAGTGGTATAGATAGTGACTTTATATATATGATTATTCAGAGGCAAGTAAGATTGAAGAAGGGTTGTGGTTGCATAGTTCATCATACTGTCCTCTTTGGCTTTGTATATATTTCAAATTGTCCATAATAAAAAGCTTTAAAAGATAGTATTATGCAGTGAAACAAATGATAGTTACTTAGTCAGCTTGTTTTGGTTCAATTCCATGAATTGTTATTTGCACTAAATTTAAGGAATGCAGTGGTAGAAGTATTCAGGGGCCCAACCTTCATGTTACTGATGGCTTAAAGGGAAAGACAATTAGCAATCTAAAACACAAAATGCCATACTGAGTTTAGATTATATCCGGAAAACAATGACCAGTCACCTACACTTTAATCAGAGAAAAATATCATCTGACTTCTCCATGTTATTATACATAACACACGAAGTGTCTGTAAAAAGACTAAAGTGGGGAATATGATCATATCTGAGGCTGTCACAGTCGTTTGTGTTTATGTTGGTGGAAGTTTGCAGAGCAGAGACACTCAAGAAGGAGAACCCACAAGCAACTCTGACAAGAAGTGTTGCAGGAATGCAATAAGGCTGGGGCAGGTGGTCCCAACGGGCACAGACAATCCAGGGCTTGTTAGAAAATTATTTTCTGCCTAAACTAGATAACCCTTGAGTCTCTCCATTTCTTTTACTCAGAATCAAGGCACTCTTGTGGGTCTTAGGAATAGTGTCTGCATTTCTAAGTGTGGCATCCAAAAGTCTGGTCTTACTTAGCTTTCTGTGTATCTCTATGCACTATATGCTGATATGTTTGATTTGAAGAAATAAGGTGAGCAATAATTACAACTTATTGCTTTGGAAAATGCTATTCAGAGTGCATGTAATTCTCATTTGATCCAAAATGCCTCATCTTTGTTAAGTCTTAGCCCACACAGGAGCTTCTCCATGAGCCTCCTCATTCTGTATCTGTGTTTTCCTGCATCTCCTAAATGCATAACTTGACCTCAGTTTTGGGTATAGGAACTACTTTAGTGTGATTTTATAATACATTATAGTGATTTTTGCATCTTTTTTGCCATTAAATTTCCAACTAAAACTCTAAGAGAAGAAAATGTGTTAATTCACCTTTAACATCCTTGAGTACAGTACCTTATTTTAATGCCAGTAAACATTGAATTAAAATAATTACTTGTCTCTTTGCATTTTTTGTTTCTCCAAAATGTAGATAAATAACAAAACTTTCCATGGAAAAATTGATTTTTGCTTAACAAGTGTAAATTAACAAATGCACATCCAGGTTGTGAACATGTATGATAACTTTAGGAGATCAAATGACAGGGCAAGTTTATGAGTGCATAAAATTCTTTATTTAGAACAATAAAGTATATGTTTATATAATGTAATTTCAAATTCAAACGTGTATAAAAAGGGTCAGGACATATACCTATTTTAAAAAGTACACATACAGTATATACACATACACATCACATTTTTACAACTTTTTATTTAAACGTCAGTCATGATGAAACTATTTAGAATAGTGTTGACATACACTTACATTACAATATGCAAACTCTGATCTATGACTGAACTAGCAATATATCTGTGCATCCATCTAACTGTCTGAATACTTCTCAAGTCCATTGATTTAAAAAAAAAAACAGTGGCAAGTGGACACATTAATCACACATTAATGCTTAGAATACAGGAGAAATGGCTGTTTTGTTTGGAAAATTATATTTAGTGTTGCATCTCAAAAATCAAGTAAAAGAAAATGCCATGGTTTTTAGTTTAAACACATCTCATCTTAGTTATATCTTTATGAACATTATAAGAATGTAGTCAGGAGATGACAATTATACATTAAATGCTTAGCAAACATTTTAGGGTCATAAATATACATTTTAATATAGATTATTTTTAAAACAACACCTTGTGATGAAATAAAAGTACTATTATTTTATCTTTTCAAAGGCATTTAAAAAGACTACTTAATGGAAGGCAGCAAAACCATTAATTAGGTGACTGAATTTTCACTTGAATGGTTGTGTTTTAAAGCAAAATTCAAAATAATACCAGTTCAAACATAAGCTGGCTTCCTTTAAAATTCTTGTCCCAGTTTCCAATTTTAAAATTTATTTTATGGATTATCCTTTTATGAAATGGTTTTAAAATATCTTTTGGCATTCAAAAGCTGTACGAGCATCTTATTATCTTCTGCTCTTAGCTTTCAATAAAATGAGAACAGTCAAATGTTTAATTTGGTGCATTTCCAAATATTACACACATCTTGAAGTGTACCTCCCCAGCTAAAATATACTACTAATTTTCTTTCTTCGGAGGTGATCCAAAATGTTTATTTAAACAAAGTAAAAGCCATCTGTTGTGTACATGGTTATCTAATTTACCCTACTTGCAAATGAATTTCTTGTTTCCTAATGGACCCTATTTACATCTGAAACAAAGACGAGAAAAATTTTTATGGTCAAAATGTTTATACACAGAGAGCAGAGTTGGGTATTTTGTATGGGACAGTTTCTGCTGTACTGCATTTTAATCTGACTGTCAGTCACACAGCAGAAAAGGCTCACTCCAAGAAGTGACCTCCAAATTCATCACACGGATAAATTAAAAAATCGAGACTCCTAGAGGAGAGGTGGTTTGCCACATTACTTAACGGCAAAGTAGAGCTTCCGACAGTTTTCCCAACATCAATTCTCACTATGCCAAACTGTTTTTTTGAAGAATTATTTCTTAAAAGAGAACAGATCTGGAATAGTTCAATGCCCCATATTAGAAACAAATGCTGACACCTAAACCTAGCTGTAGAAACCCTTTAGGAAACAGTCGTGATTTCAAAATGATTTTTCTGTTCATTTATAACTTCAGTTGAATGAGAGTGATAAAATTTGCTGCAAAGTTTCTCCAAGTAAAATGTGTTTTATTCTTGCTAAAAGTGAATACTTCATTGTCAACACATGCTTTCTCATATTTCCATTTTTCACATATGCAATCCTTTATTAAGAGGATAGGCTACTTAGTCTAGTACTGTATTAAAAAATCAATTTGTCTCTGACTCATTAAAAGTGGCAGTGTGGCAAGCACATTGCATTATTACACGTCATCCAGGAATATTCAGTATTACGGGCAGGCCCCATTTATCACAGAGTCAGTTTTGCTATAGACTTGGTCTTGAGCGAAAACGTACAAAGCTCTCAGTATAATTTACAATCTACAAACTTTTGAGACCATCCTAATTACAAGGCAATTTTGAAACACTGTAAAAGACAACCATCAGATACACGGCACCAATTTAAAAGGCTATTTCATGGTTTATTATCTCACTTGTGAGTTTTCCACAAACTATGCAAAAGGGTATTCAGAACACATGGGCTCAAATAAGCAAAGATATATGTATATTTTTATTCCAAAGCAGATATGACATAATTAAACTCCCAAGCAGCTAGCATCCCAAATAATGTTCAGCGCTTTTCTATTATTCATGTACTTTACTGAATTTTAGTGATTTAAAAATTGCCAATTATGTAACTGTCAATGAACCAATATATTTAATAGGCAGGACACATCTCTCCTCCCTTTCCATGACAGATTTCATAGCCTGCTAAATTTGTCACTTAACTCTATTAATTAAGACCATTTTCTTGAGTGCTAAACCCAAACTACTAGCTTTGAGAAACACACTTTGTGTTTTTTATACCCTCAGTCTCAGAAAACAGCATTTTCATATACCCAAACAGACTAAAATCACTGGATAAATAACCAAACCACTAGCCTGAGACAATCAGTCTTCTCACCCTGTACATTACCAACATATATAAGTCATGTTAACTTATGCCTATTTTCCTCAAAACAATCTGCCATACACGCACATGGATAGGTCCTTTCGGCAATTAAACTGATCCTTAATATAACTAACCAGTTGTACCATTGGATAGCTGAGGGCCTCAAAAGTTAATGCAGCTTCCCAGTGAACTTGCCTTGATTCCTCGAGAAATGACTCATGCTGGAGGAAGCACAGCACTTTACAGAAGAAAGAAAGCATAGAAATCATCGAAGCTCTTTGGTATAAGAAAGAGCAAAGGCCACAAAATAAACTGTATGTGAATTAGTTCGGAATATGAGCTAAAATCCAACTGTATGAGAAATTCTTGGATATTTGAAATCAAAGGAAAGCTAACATTTAGTTTTTCATGCCCTTTTGTATAACAACATTAAAAACGGTCATCTTAAGGTTATAGTACATGGCGATAATGTTATTACAAAGATAATTGGATTGAGAGGCTTTGGGTTCCTTTAGGTATTTGTTCATATGTTAAAAGAACTTTCAACAAAATAAAACAATAGAAAAATCACTATTTGACCTTATTAAGATATTCTTTTGACTATTAAAAAATTGGCAAGGGGAATTAACATAGTGTCCTACAAATTTTATTTTAAAAGCACAATGTCCATCTTGGAAATTCTGGCCAAATGCACTCTTGATATGACAAATGCTGTCACATACTTTAAATAGCAAACTGACATGCATAATTACATGAAGCTCTCTTTTATTTTTATTTCATACCTAATAAACATAGGATGCCTGATTTTAAATAAATTGTTCCTTTAAACAGATAATGGTGATTATAAATAACTAAGGTTTCCCGTTTCCTTGCATTATTGTAAAAGTAACCTAGTTTTCAACACCCATATTTGCATGGGGTGTGATTCTCTAACCTTGGATACTAAACATCATAATTTATTCTTACTTTCTTCCATGGTAAAAATTGAAAATAGGACCATCATACATTCAGAATTTTCCCCCACATCCGTCTACATAACTCTGCAATAGTTTTAGAGTATAAACATGTCATAATATAATTTGCAAACACAATTTATACACACTAAAGTAGCCAAAGCAAAAGGCTGACTTTGCCAGGGATGCCAAATGTCCTCCTCGGCACATGCTGCTGGTCACGGTTCGCAGCTCCTTCCTGCGATGACTCTGATGACTCTTGGGGAAAGGCTTCCCTAAGCCAAGGCGTCACTGTTCTAATTCAGTACTGACTCGCCTGCATAGACAGAACCAGTCACTCACGTCCATTTCTCTAGTGGGATATGCGTGTGCCTGGTCTATGTCAGGAAGGGATCAAAGTCAGACTGCTCTCATCAATTGGCCAAGTACAAAGCTGACGTGCCTGCTCCCAGCACTCAGTTCCCACTGCTTTCCACACTCCACAGTGGCTGACACTACTGAGTTTTTCTTTTCATATTTTTTTTTCTAGATTCCTTTGAGAAAAGTTGTTCCCCCCACTAGCCAGGCTGAAAACCTGCTTGCAGAACCTGGGTAACTACAGGCTGCAGACTGTGACTGAAGAGTAAAGCCGTGTGGTTTTTCAGCACTTGAGACATTTCTGGAGCCAGGCGAATGGTGCGTGCAAACTGAGACACAAGCTTTCTCTCCCGTCATCACTTGCAAGTTCTGAATGAGACCACGAGACCCTCTGGTCCTTAAAATAGAGTCCTGCTCCATACAAGTTCTTCTTTATAGATGATTAATTCAGTGCCAGTTTCACAGTAAAACACTCTGTTCCAAGTTCTGAATCATCCATATAGTCATGGGTAGCAAGCACAGATAAGATGAGGTCTGTCACTTCAGACAGAATAGGAATTGGTTTAAGCTGCTTCATTTATGAAGCAAACATGAACTGTTACCAGCCTAGAGAAGAAAGAACACAAAAACAAGGAGAGGTTATGGCATGTTTTCTTTTTGCCTTCTTCTCATTTTCAGTAACTGAATACTTGTAGAAGCCCCCAGACAGACTAATAGAATTAAACTGTGTTTTGAACTTGGCTTAGAAGCACTGGGCTCATTATTTTCTTGGCTGACCATCCCTGGGAACACTTGATGTTATCTGAAATGATCTCACTGTCCACTGTCTATGTTCTTCCCTTAGGAGGTAAAGTGCACAAGGACAAGGGAATTTATCATCTTTTTTTAACTGATGACCTCAACATGAAACGGTGCTTGGCATATGAGGACCAGTATGTACTTACTACTATTTCTAAAAATGAATGAAAGAATATCCTGTGTCTTTCACACCTCCAAACCCATAACCAGTTATTTCAGTTTGTGATAAGAGGGTTATCAAGCTATTTAACCCAGAGTTTCTCTAGCAAGAATTTAAAGAGGGAGTGAGCATTTGATGAGGCAGAGAAGGTGTGAAAGTCCAGGTAGTGTCTGGAGAGTGGAGAAGTGGACACAGATGGAGTCCCTGCCTCAGGCAGAGAAGCTGTCAAGGACCACCAGCTAGGAGCAGCCTCCTAGCTAACAAGCAGCTCTAATATCCTGGATGCCTCTTTGGCTGCTAGCAACCACTGCTCTACGGAGGAAACAGCAGCAGCAAGAGCTTATTCAATATTTCCATTCAAAAGAAAAACAGAAACCCAGCGCTGCATTTGGACTAAGCCCTTGGGGACTCTCCTCTGGCCTCAGAAACTGTACTAAGCCCCAAGTACAGTTTCCTTTGGTAGTAAACTATACTTGGGGAAATAAAGTCTTGCTGTTTTTTACTTCTTCAGTGTTGGTATTAAACCACTGAGCTTCCTTTGGATTTCTCAAGTTCTCAAGTATGATATCTGTACTTCTTTATCTGTTTTCTTAAAATTACAGATAATATCTTCAGGATATTCCCAAATAAATGTATATTTTACATCCCTCTTTCTTCTCTTCATTCTCCTTCCTTACTTTTGTCCTTGTTTGTCAATCCTAAAATCATAAATCACTGGTTTCAAAATATTGGGGTCATTCTGCAGGATATTTATAAAGGCTAGTAGCCTAAACAGTAAGAATAGTACTACAGATAGTAAGAATTGTATTTTCTCAGGCTCTTTAAATGTCATACATTAAAATCTGTACAATACAACAGTTTGCCAAACAGAGAACTTTAGAAACTAAGAGCTCTTTATTTAGAAAATCAGAATTAAATCTGGAAAGAAAAATTTAAAAACATCAGAAAAAAGCTTCAGAAATTAAAATGTATGGAAAATATTATTAAAATAAATCATGACTAAAGGGCAAAAAAAAAGGAATCACAAAAAGCTAAAGGATATTTTCAAAAGGTAGGAATAATTTGACTTGCTTATCGAGAGGCAAGATTGGAAATCTATTTTTATTTTTGTCTCTGGGTTGCTTAGCAAACAAAATAAACTTGAAGACACCACTGTTTTTCCCATAGAACAAAACTACAAAACTATCATTTTGTAATGATACCTTGAATTTTTACAACAGCTTCATGAAATAAGCAGGGTGCTGCTTAATGATGGGGAACTGAGAAATGAGCTCTTAGGCACCGTGTAGCTGTGTGAACATCTCAGAGTGCACTAACACAAACCTAGGGGTGTGCCTGCTGCTCTTAGGGAAAGAGCTTACAGGATGGTTGCCCCATGTCATATGTGTGGCATATCTTGGACAAACTATTGTTATATGGTACATGTCTGTGTACAAAAGAACTATGGGTAGAAGATATTAACTAGCTCATCCAGAGTCCTACAACCAGTTAAAAGGCACAGGCAAGGCTTGAACCCAGGTCTAATCCTTTGTAATCTCCTGTTTCGCGATATGGCACAGAAAGAAAGCACAGAGGCACAATCTCCAAAGCTCCAGAAAGTTTTAGATAATATCTGAAAAAGAGTCAGAGATCTTGGCAATTGGTAACCTGCCATTCTCAAGCCCTGTACCTTCAAGATCCAAGTTTGATTTGAGCTTTTTCCCTTTTCAATTCTAAAATCTATTTTCTTCTGGTCTTGGCTCAGAACTACAGGAAAAGCTTAGCTTGTGTTTCTTTTATCAATCACCCTACAAGCCTAACTATAAAAAGAATAGCTTTATACACTTACTAAGATGAATTAATCAAGAAATTACTGAATATAAGCTACAAAGACATGCTATTTACTGTCAACAAGACTGGGCCTTTTTTATGACCAGGTCATCTCTCCTGCAGAGCCTTGAATAAGAGTCTTTTTGGATGATCCTCAAATTCCAGATCTGTAGTTTCCAGCCCCAAGTGCTTCTACCCTTTCTGCTTGATTTCCACCAGAGTCCAATGATACAAACTGACTCTTGAACACAGTTTGTAGTTTGGGGCCTTCATGACTTGGCTCATGCTATCTGCCACCTCTAAATTAATCCTTTCTCATTGTAATAAAACCTTAACAAAATGCAAGATCTAGCTCAGCATAAGTGCCACTTCCAATGCTTATGAAAAAATGCCCTTCTGTGTCAAGGGGGTTCCCTATTCCTTTAAATAAAGCAATTTCATAGGGGTGTGCATGGCACAGTTATAAGGGATGCCATCCATCCCAAATTCTTGAGTTGTGTTCAGCGCATATGTTATACAGTCACGTACGATAGCACCAACTTTGATCTATACTGAATTTTCACTAAAACTATTTCTTTTTGCATTTTGAGCTTTACAGATTTATAGTTCACTTTAAAAATACTAGTCTCATTTTCTTTTGTAGGCTCAAAGTAATTTGAAGATATAGTTAGGTTCTGTCCACAAATGTACATACAAGAGTTTGATGGAATCACATCTATAGGAAAAATAAAGAGCAAAATTTTCCCATACTATACAAAATGTTCTCATACAACATTAATTTCTAATGTAGCTTATCTCTGTTTTATTTCTATTATTTATGTTGTGCTAAATACAGCCCAAAACATGATAAATACAGGTTGCCACACATGGATAGCTGGTATCAGCTAGGTAACAAAGTAGATTTTTAACTTTTTATATAATTTTTTGTATCTGATATCAAATAAACACAGCTTTAGCATACTTGTTTCTTAGAAGCAAAATTCTTGTTTCTGGTTCATTATTTAATTAATGTTCTTTCTTATATTTAAAATTCAGTCCTTCCTCATATTTTTGCTCAAATTACAGATTATTTCTTTTGGAGAATTAAAAATTTTATATGTTTTCTATTCTAGTGTTCCAATATTTAACTTGAATTATTTTATTTTAGTTGGTAAAATTTCTGTATTTGGGGAGAACTCTTGGCAACAAATCTGAGTCATTCACTTCTTTTTTCCTTCACTAAGACTATGATTACAATAAAAAATTTGAAATAGTACTCACTTACACACATGTTCATGAGCATTTGTATTTTTATCTCCAAAAATTTTTATTCTCAGATTACTGAATTCTTTATGCATTTAGCCAACAAATATTTTGCATCATATATATGCATAAAGAATAAAGTGGAGTTCTAAAATACAGAAACAAGTAACAGTTTATGGTTTTTTTTTTAATTTAAGAGGAAAAAGAGAAAAACACAAAAACAAAACAAAGCAGTGTAAGGTTACACATAATACAGAACTACAAAAAAAAAACATAACAGTAAGAAATCACCTGTTAATAGATTACATAATATCATCTTGGAAATAGTTGCTCAAATCAAAAGACACAAAATGTCTGTCTAAATAAGTAATGTAAGAGTCATTTGAAATGTACTCAGAGGGCCACAAATAGAGATATGCTTAGGTACAAGTGCAATCACGGTTTTGGAGGTGATGGTATCTGAACTAAGCCTTGGGAGGGAATTTCAGAGATAATGGAGAAGGTACTTGATGACAGAGGACCAGTCATGGACTTCATTCATCCACCATTCATTTAACACCGACTCTGTAAATGTGATGAGTTTCTTTCAGACAGTTCTGGGCTTCTTTTACTTGTCTAATTTCTTTCGTTTTACTCATGAATGATATTTTGTACTTTCAAGGAAATTAAATAAATAACATTAGACTTCCCGTTTGACTTTCTATAATTCTCCTGTCCGTGCTCATCTTGTTCCACTGACTCCAACATAAAGACACAAGATGGAGATCAGCCTGACATCAGAAGAACAATCTCCCTTACCACTCAGTTCAACTTTCATTGTGGTCTCATTCATCCACCAGACATTCACCAAGTGGCCTGCACGGCACAAACATCAAGTAAGGTGCTTGGGACCCAGCGTGAAGCAGACAGATCCAGCTCTGGTCCTTGCACGCTATCTGACTACCAGAAATACACAGAATTGTTTGATGGTGGTTGCTTTAAAATGCCTTTTCTCTTCTTAAACAAGTGGCCTGAGTTTTCCCATCAGAATCCACTCTCCAAAAGCCACAGCAGAAACACCCCAATTAAAACCACATGACTGAAAATCCCTGTGTTAAAACAATCCCAGCAATGCAATTCAAAGTCAAACAACACAGGACACTGGCTGAACTTCCGAGAATTAATCATTTAGTGCGAGGGTCTAATGGAAAGGTACTGAAACAACAGTTAAAGACACAGTGGAGTTTAGATTGAGGTTACAGGGCACAGAAAGGGGTTTCTAGAAAAACTGATGATTTAAGACCTGGGAAATTGCTGGAACAGAAAAAGTGAGCCTGGAGAGAAATGCAGCATGGCAGCCATAGAGAGTGCTATTCATGCTTTGGAAACAACCATCAATCAAGTAGGTGTATGGCGAACCCTAAAAATAAGGGAGCATGTGGAGGAACAGGATTAAAGTGTCAGAGACATGTGCTGTGAACTTACTATATCATGTTATGTCAGGCTGTTGAAAATGACCTTTTCAATGACAAAATTTGGCTCCTAGCGGAAGCAGAAGGCCATGACCCAATTTCCTTGAGGAAGATTCAATCTGGAGATACATTTCTGAATCTGGGACAGAAACAAAATCAGGAAGGACAGGGACCAGCACGAGAGAGGAGCTCACCACAAACCACACCAGCAGGAACCCAGGAGACTACGTGATCCTCTGACACGGGGAGCGTGAGGAGGAACTGAGGGACCCTGCGCCACTGTGGGAAAACGTGTGCACGAGTCATGGAGCACTAAGGGCATTAGTGAGGATGAGGGAGAGCAGAGGCCCACGCTGGATCAGGCTAACGCGATGCTGGGCGCTTCTTCAACTGCGTCTGCAGCATGGGATCAGGAAGGGGGAGAGGAGAGGAGGCAAGCGCATCAGTCACTGGGGCCTGCTTTTACTCTCCCTTCTCCAAACCCTACAATCACAGCTGATACCTGCCCCAGATTTAAGTCAGGGCATCTTAGTTTCTGGGCTGTGATTCGCCACACTTATTACTAGTCACGTGGCAGGTGCCACTTTGGCTTGACATTTTTATTTTTTTGATTATAAAATATTTTGACTTTTCTGCTTTATCTTAAATTGGCAGGGAAACGTGTGTGTGTGTGTGTGTGTGTGTGTGTGTGTGTGCTTCTATTTTAGCATCTAGCAAAGGGCTATTGTCCTGTTACAGTGGTCACCCCTGAAAAGCATTGGTTTTATTTTTGTTAATCTTTTATTTTAGTCCTAATTTGCTCTATTTTTATCTAATTTAGTCTTTGTCTAGTTTATTTTCTTCCTTCAAAAAATATCTTAAGAAAACAACCTATTGTTAAATTTTGTGTAATTCCCATACAAGATGAATTCACTTATCAGGGCTAACACTGTTTACCTTTCAACACTTGAGACCATACAATAAAGGAGATATGCACAATTCATTACACACCTACTTTGCTTAACATTCTGACATCTGCTTGCGAGAAGATATAATAACAAAGCTGGTTTCCAAATTCTGGCCTCTGGTTCTTGTTAAATATGTCAGTTTGAATTCTAAACTCTTACCAATGTACGAAGGTAACAGTGTTGATACAAGCCACAATTACACTTCTTGAAACTCTCTCTCTTTTTCTTGCAACATACTGAAAAACAACAAGAAAAATGTTTACAGTGCTTGCTTTCAGACAGAGATCCTGAAGTACACCGTGACTTACGCCTTATAAAATGATTTTCCTTTCTGGAAAATGCAGTAGCAAAAGGTTGAGAATTGGGTGGGAAACTTCACCTTCATAAGCGTCGCTATAAAGAACGATGATTTTCTCAGCACAGTCTTCTCAAGAGGTTAAAAACCTCTCTCTCTCTCTCTCTCTCTCTCTCTCTCTCTCTCTCTTCCCTGCCCCCTCTCTTACACATACCAAAAATGCTTATATGCATCTAATATTTATATATAAAAACCAATACACACATAGGCATAATATGAGATAAAGAAACATGTTAAAAATTATAAGCAGAGTTAATGTTTCCTCAGACACGAAAATGCAAAGGCACTCTATAGGCAGTGCCAGGTGTGGTGACACACACCTGCAATCTCAGCACTATGGGAGCTGAGGCAGAAGTGTCACAAATTCCAGCCCACCCTGTATAATTTTGAGAGACCTTAACTCAAAATTTTAAAAAATTTAAAAAGAACTGAGAATGTGCAAAAGCCCTGGGTTCAATTCACACTACTACAGGGGGAAAAAAAGCAATATCGAAGAGACCATGAAAGAATTAGAAACATGGAAAAGATTTGAGACACAGTGGTTGGAAGCTGCATCATGAAATTTAACTTCTTAGCATCATGCAAACAAACATACATAGTAAGAGAAGTAACAATGTCAGGCTTGCTTAACCACATAGTTAGCAAAGTAAAATACCTTATCTCATTATCTTCTTCATTAATCTGTATATTTTCACCTGCTCTTGTAAGATTTGGTTGTTTCTTCTGGGAAGAAAAAAACCCACAATGATATACCTTGTAAAAGTATCAGTGTACGACTGCTCCAATGTTCTAAAGCATGTGGCCCTCACTTTTTATCTTTCCTGTAGTAGCTCCAATGACATTTCTTCCAGTGTGTGAAAAATCCTTTTGGGATGGAAACGATAAAAACTGCATGTGTTACTAACTCAACATTTACAGGGCCTTGAGGTTGAAAGAATAAAAAAGAAACTGCCTTATTTAAATAGTAATCAAGTTCAAAAGACAGTTCTAAAAGCTCATGATGCTTTGCCCCATTTTAAAATTTTAGACAAGCTTCAATATGAAGAGAACAAAAGAGCAGAAATTCAAAATAGCAGTAACCCAAGTGGCATTTATATTTGACTTTTAAGCACATCAGATGATTTTTAGCATATTTTCTTCCTTTTATATTTAGCTCAGAAACCTGTCTCATTCCTGAAGTGAGCGTTCTGAGCTACAAGAGTTACCTTCAAAGTCTACTGAGGAATAGTAGGCAATTTTCTAAAATTTAAAAAAGAAATTTTCTTTTAGATTATACATGAAAGGAAGGCCCACTGCTTTCTCAATAGGATCCTTTCTTGGAATAAATATGTAGTTTATCAAGAAGGGAAAAACAGAGTAGCAATACTTACCTTCCAGTATAAGGCTCCAAAAGCAAAGCCAATCACAAGAGAAAAGAAGGCGGGCAGAGCCATGGCTGCCCACTGCAGGCTGGAGTCCTCAATGGATTCTGCTGCTCGGCCTGTAAGGTAAAGAGCACCGTGCTGAGCCCAGTGGCCCGTCCTGGGTGTGGCTGCATCTGTCCTGTGGTTGTCCCTACCTGTTTCCATAATATACTGTTGACCTTTCTTTGCTTAAAGCACTGAAAAGATTGATTTTTCTGCTGAGTATTGTTTTTGAAAGGCAATATAAAATCATATATTCTCCAAAAGATGAATGTGTTTAACAAAGGAAAGAAACCTCACCGACAGAAAGAGGCTTGTTAATGTTCATGCATATAAAACCCAGACTTGGGATATCCCAGGCTCGGGGGATGATTTATCTGCCTATCTCCTATGTCTTCATCTTCTGAATGCTTTTCACTTTCCCACACTTGAAATCTTGCCCCAAAATACTAGCGATCATATTTTACAAGCTGGATCACGATTTGGCCGGCTGCAAGTATTAGCTCATCCAATAGGCCCTGTAGTTATGGTCAATGCAGGTACCTCATCCTTAGAATAACAGCTCTTCACTCAAATTCATCTTCAACGCACATTTTCGGGATAGCAGGCAGTGCCAAGTACTGAGCTATGGACTATGGGTTGCAATTCCTACATTTTACTCTGAAAAACTTGAAATATTTAACACCAAAGATGACAGTGTTACCCTAACCTTGTAACAAAGAAGACGCATGATATTGGCTTGAGACATCTTCCTTGATCCTGTCTTCCTCTTTCTTGAGAAGCAGAATGATACGTGAATTATAACATCTTCCCTGTAAGAATTTCTTCCTCCAAATATTACCCTTATTTTGACCAGTGGGTCTCTACAGGTCCCCTTATGAAGAGCAATTTGTTTGTTTAGAAAAACATACATGCATTTGCAAGAGTTCAATGTGTAGTTCATGTGATTCTGTGTGTGTGTGACAATATGATACATTTAGAAGTTATAAATTTCCAACAATTACAGTATATGATTTTAAAAACTAATTCAGTATAGTGACTGCTTTTGGGTAAATTTGCAATAACATTTGGTTTACAAGGTTGGCCTACTTTTTCTGGTTAATATCCAGCATATTTAAGGTACATAATATTAAACAATGGATCCACTGAGTGCTTCAGCATTTACAGGGAAAAATAAACTTACAAGTGGAATTTAAGAGACAAGAAATAGATTTTATCTATTTTAGGGGGAATAGGATTGGGGACCAGATGTTTCGTAATTCTGTCAATTCTGTTTCTAAAGTGATTCAAATGCTAAGATATTTTCATGTGTGCTCGTTTCCAAGGAGGCACATTGGGAGGGGACCCCCGGAAAGGGTATGCAGGTGAAGTGCTAGGAGTTGATGGTGGAGCTGTGGGAAGTGGGTCATCAATTTACAAGATCAGCCATTGCTTCCTTCAAATTAAACTATCAGTTCTGGCCCACCATGCGCCATGCTGCACCGGGAGAAATGTGCTATAGCAACTCAGACTGGAGTTCAACATGGATTTTCTCACCAAAATAAACTTGTGCTATAAAATGAGATGAGGTAGAACTGAAATAGTGCTACTATTACAATGTTACAGCTGTTTTAAGGGTTATGCAAGATTATGTAGAATAATCTGGAGTTTTATTACCATTTAGAAAGCTTTTTTGTAAGAAAATAGACTTGGAAGTGAAAAAAAGCCATACCATATTTAAAATTTTAATGTAATTATCTGTAAGTAAGTAATTGGCTATTTGGATTTGTATGCTTTTTCTTTCTTCTTCTTCTTTGGTTTGTTTCTTGAGACAGGGTCTCATTATGCAGTTCAGGCTGGTCTTGAACTCTCTATGTAGCCCAGGCTGGCCTAAACCTCACCACAGTCCTCCTGCCTCTGCCTCCTGAGTGCTGCGATTATGGGTGTGTACCACCACACCCAGCCCCTGTATTCTTCTTGATGGACAATCTACTATGGCCCCCTCTGTCTACCAGGATTGCTGACTTTCACCACTTTGATAGTTCTTACCTTTGGCATTATGGGACACTACAAGTCCTGGAATCTATGAGGCAGCCTAATCTTCCTTCAGGAGACAGGGAAGGAAAAGGATCTTAAAGATGGGGAAGAAAGGGCCCCTCGGCCGCTAAATGTCACATCCATCACAGGTCAAAGTTTCCTGACATTTAGTATTTCACTCATTATGCATTGGGCTTAAAAAAAGCCAAGCCTTCCGTTCTCAGAGATACTAGGTCCCTTTTGTAGGGAAAGAAAAATAACTTTATCAGCAAAAGCTCCTTACACGTCCAGGGTAAAACTTTCCATACTGTACTGGCCTCTGCAGCTACCCACTTGCAATCAAGGAGATTTCAACTGTATGCCTCAAAGCCCATAGAGAGGATTTTCGGGGCCAAGGGCAAAAGCTGATAACAAAGCTTTCTTTCACCTGTAGATTGTTCTAGAGACCTTGTGGGGAGGAAGAGCATCTAAATAGCACTTTGAGTAATCCCAAATTCCTGAGTTATTACTGTTTTGTATTGCTATTACAAAAACTATCCTTTGTCAAAACTTCTGGGAAATTGACTAATAATGTCGAAACTTCCTGGTTTGGTTAATAATGACTGACATCTAGAAAAATAGAACACATGCACACACAAAATGTGCTACAATCTTGCTGAATTTTTTGAGCAAATCACTTAGGCGCGCCATAACACTGAACATGGATCACTTAGTGATTAAGAAACAGGCAAATGAGAATCCTCCTGCTTGTTCACATCCAGAACTTAGTATGCACTCGCCACAATCCCCGACACATACTCACTGTACCTACTCATGCTCGTACTTAATAATGAACTCTTACTAATCACTAGGCCTGGCTCCAAACCCATGTGTACTAATTCAGTCACAATCCACAAAAAGCTCTTGAAGGAGGTGGTATCTTCTAATTCCTCCTAAGGCATCAGAAAGCTTAACTTTCCTAAAGGGTCCATACGAATCTTAGAACTATAGCAGGATATGAGTTCAGGTGATCTGATTTAACACTAACTTTCCAAGATGTACATGGCAATGCCCAAATAAAGATTTCTTTAGGTATCACTTAAATATTATCTGTGAGGATCTCACACATCTTTTAAACACTGCTCTTGGCATAAGGGATGTAAGTATGATTCTTTCTGGAGAGTCAGTGTGCTTGTGTGCTATGCCTGCCTCTTCCTTTCATATTCACAAGGTTCATGTGCCCTGGGCCTCCGACTGGGGCTGTCAGCTTTTAAGTCTCATCCCTGAAAACTCTCATGCTGTCTTCAAATTTCTCTGCCTCTTTCCCCATAAAACAGTCTTATCTCCTTTGTGCTACAGAGAAAAATATTTATGAAATCTATTATCACACTTATCATATACCATACTACAGGGATTTTGTTTACATCTCAATCTTTCAGAGTACAAGAGCTCATTCTGTACATCATCATAAAAGTGGAATATCTACGACTGATACTGTACTCAGACAAACTGTTGATGTGGATGCCAGACTCATATTTTTTACAAAAGAAGAAAACGGAAAGTAAAATAAACAGGGGGAAAAAAAAAGAAAGCTGTCCATTCATCTTGCAATTTAAAAAGTACCCCCAGAATCAGAGGGTTTGGATTAAACAAGGTTTTTTGTTTTTGATTTTTTTTTTACATTCAGTTTCTTTTAAAGTCAGCAAGAGAAACTTCTGCTATATTCCAGCCATGATGGCAGCTGACTAACTTCCCAAAATAAATAATTATAATTCTGGACAAATTATTCTAGTTAAGATATTAAATTAGTCAACAAATAATTCAAAAATGTAATGCCTGAGAGGCGGAAACCATACATTTGTATTAAAATGCTTACACTTTTCTTATAGAAAGGTCTTTTATGTCCTTGAACTAGAGACAACTCTAATCCCATTTGTAAGTCTGAAGGGATTACATTTTAGCAAAAATGACCAGATTTTTTTCTTTCTGGTCATTTCTGTAACTTTCCTGAGGCTGTAGGAGTATATGATAAATCCAAAAAGCTTTATAAAGACCTCTGTCTGAATCTGAAGAGATATAGTACTCCAGAAAGTTGGGTTATGGGTCAAAGAGGACAGAAATTTCTAAGAAAGAAGTATATTTTCTTCCAACACATACATTTATGGTAAAACAACAAAATCATTAAATTTTCAACACACAATATCAAATACTCATATAGAAATAGACAAAACTAAAACTATCCTTAGAATTTTACAAAAAGCATTTATATTTTCAACTTTAAAATTCCACTTTTGTGAGGCACATTCTCCGCAAAATATGTTTAAGTCTATAGTGATAAGAGTCTAAATTGTATCTAAACTTAATTTCATGCCTTATTTAATAGAATCTTAGCAAAAAATGGGAAACGCAGTCCACAAGTATTTCTCAGGAAGATCACAAGAGGAATAACAGTAATAGAACAGTATTAGTAATAACATTGATTGTATAAATTTCCTTTAAAGCCCATGCAATACTCCTATAGAGGCTAATTGGAGCCATGCATGCATTAAATCAGATGTGTACTTACTATTACTGCTACTGCTGTCATTCTTAAGGGAGCTGGCTGCAACGGGGGGTAACATAAATGGTTTTGTGACACTGACTCTGGAATCTAAATAGAAAGCAATAATGTGTCAGTGTTACATGGTGATGTATATGAATAACAAAGACCTCAGAGTGTGTGCCAGGTCTGTTTCCCTTACTGAGATTATTCAGATCCTATTTACTTCACACTGAGTCCTGCTGTTCTGTTTGGTTAAGAAATTCACCACAGTCACCTCATAGAGCAAATATTTATAGCATACATATACTTTTGTCATTCAAAAAAGAAAGCAATTAAATTTTTGTTTTAGCGACCAAAGAGCAGGGAAAGAGGGTATCAATACAGAATAACTCATGAGAATCAGAATTCATGCATGGAATTAGATCCTTAATGAAAACATTGCGGAAGGGAACATTAAGGAAATTGGAGATAAATAATAATATAATTGTACTCTACTAGCAAATATCAGAAAATGTATGAGTGACAATGTCATATATTGTTTACGCACATACAACTTTTTAATTTAAAAGTGATTGAACAATGTTAGTCTTGAAAACCAACAGATACACAAGCATTAGTTTCTTTGTGACATTGACATTTACTTATTAGAACAACACACTTCAGCCTTTTATTGTTATGCATACATTGATTCAGAAGTAGATTCTTGCAGATAGAAAGCTCAAGCTTGCTATTTATGTTTCAAATGGAGATGTTTATGTGTCTTACCTTTCTCAGGACTTAGTGTTGAAATCACACAATCACTATTTTCAGATGCCACCGTAAAATTCTTGAAGGCATCAATGGATCTATTAAAAATTCTAAAGAACTCTTCAGGAGTGAAGTTCCTCGGTTCAGGCCTCTTTGATAATTCTTTCACATTCTATCAAAACACAAAGAAAAATAAAATAAAATTGACAATTTCATCCTTTGACCAGTCTATGTCACTTAGCATAACTGAGGTAAATTAATGGGCTAAATACATCTTCCAAAGATTCAAATATCTGAACTTTATCTAAAAGCCAAAACTTCTAGACTGCAGTTTTAATGGATGTTAATTCAAACTGGTGATGGAACTCCAGGTCAGCTCTGGGGGCCGTGCAGTGAGAATTATGTCACAATAATGAAATAACGCTGATGACAAACTGGGGACTTGCTTTTAGAGATGCTCATCAAGACATCTGGCTTTCTGGGTGCAGTGCTGCACACCTATAACTCCAGCCACTGGGGAGGCTGAGGCAGGCAGCTCATAATCCTGGAAATTTAGAGACAGCATGTCTCATAAAAGAAAGAAGATGACAGAAAAAGCTAAGGATGTAATTCAGTGGTAGAGCACTTGCAATCCCCTGTACTAGAAAAGAAAACTGGTGTTGATTTAGCGGCCCTCCATAACATATGCTTCAATATCCCAAAATTAAAACAGCTGATGATATTAAACATTGGTTCATATGTACAGTGGGGAATTCTTATATAATGCAGTTAGTACTTTTGATATTATACAATCAAATTGGACAGTGCCCATGCTATAATCCAGAAATTCCAGTCCTGGTTATACACCCTATTGGAACCTTTAGCACATATTCACTGTAAGACATAGAAGACAATTCCTAGCACCATTAAAACCCTTAGACCCACCAACAGGAGGGTGGCTTAATAAGCACTGGGATACTCAGTGAAATACTCTACAAACAATAAAATGTAATTACATTATATGCAGCAAAGTTGATACATTTTATAAACCGAATGTTGAGCGAAGCAGTCACAAAGGAATAAAAGCAGGATTAAATTATACAAAATTCAAAAAAGAAAATCAAAGCTGTGTTTTATAGACATATTAAATGTTTATTTATACAGAAAATAGTAATAATAAGCATCTGTATGTACTTACCATGTGCTATTCTATATGCATATGCCTTATGTACATTAACTGACTCTCCAAATTTAATAAGAAGTAACACTGCAGTCTCCTGGATTCTAACCAAAGTGCCAAGATTAGTAAATGCATATTCTTCCCTCATTTGCAACACGCTTTCCAACACTTTCATTTATTGAACACCTAACTCATCTTGAAAGCCCCAATGGATGAGTTTTCTTTGTGATAACTTATATACCAAAGCAAAACAACAGAAATGGTAAAATGAAATGATAAGGTTATTAAATAAATTTGTAACATAATAGAAAGCTTGTATGGATTTTATTCATGCATGAAATAAAAGCTAACCTACTTTTATCTTGTCGGGTGAATAAATTTTATTTTTATATTAGGTGACAATATTTAAGTCTAAACATACATATCAGTCTTGCAACATAGCAGTGAACACTTGTTTCCTGTAATAATTTTAAAATGTTTTAAAGTCAAAGTTCACAGGTTCAAAGTAACACGGACTCAAGATGCCTTCATATTCCTAACAACATTAGTTAACATAGGATTTAAAGTAGAGTAACAAAAAGCAATCCCAACAAACACAAAGTTACCTTAAATGAGTTTTCCGTGCACTCCACAAGGTCATCCACTATCTTCCCAAGTTTGTCTATGATGGAGTAATTACTCAAACCTTCAGAAATATTCGAAAACTTGTCCAGAAGATTAGTCAAGCTGACTGACAACTGTATTACCATCTGGCGTAACCAACAATGACTAGGCTGGAGGAAATGAAACAGGAGACAAAACAATTAGAACAGGTAACTGTATCTTTTCTAAAGCATCAATGTTTCAGTCATTGTCTGTGGGAGGAAGCATTTCCTTAAAGTAAACCAGATCAGTTCTTGTGTTTTGCTTAACTCAGCTTCACTATCCTATTTCAAAATTGACAAATGCATAAAAACAAAAAAGGATATTGTTTCGGTGTAAAATACTGTATTCTTCCTAGAAGAAAATCCAACAAAGGGCTTATCCTGGTCTTTGACAAAGTTCAAATACTACTAGAATTTAATTCTACTAAGGATTATTTATGGTTTTACTTAACTGTGTTCTCAAAAAAGCATCCGATACTAAAAGAAAATACAAGTTACTACGGGAGAGCTTGGAACTCACATCCCAGTCTTTTTGGATGGACTGGAATCTCAAACAGCTTGTGTTTCTGAAGAGTATTACAGATGCTAAAGCTTTTAAATGGATAAACTCATGTAAGTGTTTTAAAACAGCTCTGCTGCAGAGGATATCTGAAATCTAAGTAGAAGCACTTTTGCTTGTAGTGGCTACATTATTTGGTCAAAAACTTTTGATCCAAAATACTAAGAAGTTCAAGATTTTGACTCCAGAATATTAAAGTATGAAGACCAGTCCTTGAAGTCAGTTTTGCTCATGGATGCTACAGATGCTCAGGCCTTGAAATCGGGTATGATGGGTTGATTTCAGGCTGAGACTCAGGGAAGCTACCAAAATCCTCTGAACTTCACATCACGTGTGTATGGCATGAGAATAAGGTAACCTTCCACAGCCGGGCATTGTTAGGGCACCATGTAGATAATCTGAAAATAAGTTCAGTGAGGGCAGATTTTTATTTTTTTAAAAATCTAGTTTTGTATAGTGTCTCCAATGGCTAGAATGACATCTGGCATATAGGAGCTGCTCAGAAAATACTTGCATAATGGACACACTGGGGAATTAGAAAAAAAAAAAGAATGAATGAGAAAAAGCACTTATTATCAGAGGTCTGCCCTCTCTTTCTGCAAAGGGCAAAACAGTGAATATTTTAGGTTTTGGGTGATGTGAGGAAGAAATAAGATCATGCTAGAGTACATTTATTGGAAGACAAATCACATTTCCACCAAATTTTATTACAAAATTCAAAATTTATTAAGGACAGTTGAATGTAATTTTTGTATAATAAAATGTTTTGAAATAAAGATCTAATGAGAAAAATTGTTTTAGATTATCAGATAGAATGCTCAGTTACTGATGTCATTTCTCATTACTGATGTCATTCTAAACCACGTATTGGTGGCTATATTCATTTAACAGAGGATATATATATATATGCGCTTGCCAGGCAGGCGCTTATGCTGCTGAGCTAAATCCCCAGCCCTAAATGGACACATTTCAACCAAAAAGGAAACTGGTATATCTTGAGGTAGGTAAGTTCCAGTTCTCAGAAACATTAAATATTCAAAACTTTGAGAACTTTTGGATGTAAACAGCTAAGTAGAATAAATCTCTTGCTGAAGCAAGCATCATCTCAACATAATTGTCTTTAAAGACTATTTCCCAAGTATGTTCAGAATCCAGTCTTTTTGTTAAATCACCGCTCAGCTCAGCTCAGCTTGTAGACACTTCTACTTGCATCATGAACAAGACTCCTGCCAGGCATGTTGGCATGTCCTGTAATCCCAGGCCCCTTTTGGGAGGCTGAGGCAGAAGGATGCTAAGATTAAGTCCAGACTGCGTAATGTAGCAACTTAGTGAGACCTTGTCTCAAAATAAAGTGTAAAACGTGCAAGGCCCCTGTGTTCAATCCTTGGCATCACATTAGGAAAATCTTTCCTTGGGTGGTGAAATGTTCTACAAGTTTCTCTCCAGTTTGGCAGAGCTAACTCCTTTCAGGTCACTGGTCCTATCAGCAAATGTTAATAGGATACAGAACACAGCACATACCATAACTCTGTTTGCAAAGTACCTTCGTGATAGGATGGCTTTTACCATTTAGCTTATTCAGCTGTAATCACACAAATTTTCCTGTGATAAGTAGATTTCACAGGTTAATCTCTTAAGATATTTTCTTTGTTCCATGTTATATATGTTCTTGCCTATCCTCTCCAACCTTCTGACAAGAAAGGACCAAGATCAAATTTCTTTGTTTTAAATTGAGACACACCTTTGGTTCTGTAGCTGTGGTCTTAACTGATATTTTCTTTCTTTCTTTCTTTCTTTCTTTCTTTCTTTCTTTCTTTCCTTCCTTCCTTCTTTCTTTCTTTCTTTCTTTCTTTCTTTCTTTCTTTCTTTCTTTCTTTCTTCCTTCCTTCCTTCCTTCCTTCCTTCCTTCCTTCCTTCCTTCCTCCCTTCCTTCCTTCCTTCCTTCCTTCCTTTCTTTTTTCTTTCTTTCTTGTGCCTTCTTTACATTAAAGAACAAAGACTGTATTTTGTTTCTTATTTTCAAACAGGAATTCTGCAGTAGTTTGTTGCTTTCATTTCTATTTTCAACTGAACTCTGTTTCCAGTTTGGATGCTAGTTCTACTTAGCTATAATCGCTCCTCTCATCTTCACCTTCCTAAATCTCACTCTCAATAAGTATTTTTTCAGTAAAATTTTCAACTCCAGAATTGCAATCCTGTGATTTCCAAGAGTTAATCTGTGGACATCCTGCAGTCCACGGCTATCTATGCTTTTAAAAATATAAACAATTGTTGATAGTTGACTTCTTAACTATATTGCTGAAAAATCATATTATGAAACTCTGGGTATAATGCTTTATTCATTGTTCATTACTGCTTGTGCAGTAATTATTTTGGAAAAGACTATGATATCAATTCAAAGTTTTACCTTTTTATTAATTACTTAACCAATTATATATTAGCTTTCTAAGTCCTTAGATGTACTAAAGATAAAATCAAGGTAAACAAATAAAATTAAACCTCTACCTGTTCTGATCTGAGTTCCTCTAAGAAAGGAAATCAGTTAAGACTAGAACATTAAGTACTTCTGTATTTTTAAAAATTAAATACAATGACTTGCAGAGGAAAAAAATAAAACAAGGTCTAAGTATTTCATGTGTGAGATGAGAGACTTTTTAAACATTTTTCTAAGATCATGATTATGAAGTAGATGATTAAAGGTTGTCAAATTCACAATTGTAATTTCTTCGCTTTTAATAAACAGGATTATCACTGTTATCTTTCAGAGGCCATTTTAAACCTTAATAGCTTTAAATAAATATTAACTCACAACACTCATTAGAACAATATCAGACATAATGTTCTCTCTTTCACTGGAAAGAATGTGAAGGATTAGGAAAGTTAACAGTTACACAAGGTGTCAAATGGCTTTTAAATGCCTGAACTACTTGTAATTTGATATTTCATTTACCTATTTTTCACAGTTTCCAAAATATAAAACAGGCTACTTTGAATGAGAAAACTTGCCTGGATTTTCCTGACTCTACACTCCATCTAATTTTTTATTTTCTTTATTGGTAGATTCTCTCCTACATTTTATGAGTTAGAGGGCCTTAGACTACTGGATCCATACAGAGTTTTATTCTTATATATTTATAATACTACTATTTGCGAATGTTAACTGTCTTCATGACACTGAGTCAATTCTTTACCTCCTTATGGCTCATAAATCAAAATCATCAACTACAAATATTTTGCTAAATGTTTAAGAAAAAGAGACAACAAAAAACCTAATTAAAAGCATTCTACACTAGGAATACAATTGTTTTTCAAGGACGAAAGCATTCATGTACATGTATATACTCAATATAAATTTTAAAATTATAAAACATGAATTCCCAAAATGTGTAGCCCAGAAGCCCTGTGCTCCAGAACAGGTAAAGGGGAGACTCTGGCAAGAATAAATTGTGCTTTAAAAACATCCAGCTATGCTTAGTGTGCTTTCTCCTCCTCACGCACTGCTTCATTGAAAAAACTCTACTGGTTTAGTAGGTGAAAGAATTTGACATATTATTCTGCATCAATATTAGATGCAAAAAGTCTTCAAGTGAAGTTACCATGAGCTTTACAGAATTAAAAGCCAAAAATGAACAAAACATACTGTAAATTTTTGCAATAATGCACGTTGCAATACTTTCTTTGTGTAGTTATGTATTGATAACTATATGCTTTCTTCTTGGGCTCAAATAGCATCAACACACTGTGAGTGCTCTTCAAAGACTTGAGGGGAAATATCAGAGATTCTAAGAGAGAAAAGCTTTGCTTGTATAATCTAAGTGATACCCGCCAAGTGTTTTCACTCAGTCTTTAAACCAACTAATTTTAATCATCAACAATACTGCCCCGCTTGGCCTTTTGCATTGTTTTCTTTAGCATGTCAGACCTCAATCTTGCCAGAATTAGAGGTGTGAATGCCCAGGCCATGAATCATCCTTTTCTCCTTGTGCAGTTAGCATCTACTCCCAGGCTTCACAATCAGAATAATGCAAAGCCATGTCACTAGACTCATAGCATTTAAATGTCGAAGGAATACCAAAAACCATCTGGTCCACTCTACTCATTTTCAGAACAGCAAAGTGGCCTGTCCAGGTTTACATAACAAATGCAATCAAAGAGAAGAAAAACTAAGATTCTCAACCACTTGTCTAGTTGTAACATTGAGCCCAGTCAAAGCGTATGTGACGGTAGTTTCTCCTGCTGGATTCACAATGACTTCATGGTCTTACCAGTTCTAAGTTTCAATTAAGAAACTTCCTAACAATAGAAATGGCTTTTTGTTTCATGTTCATGAATCCAATACCAGTAAAAGCCAAGTTTCTCCAAGCCATTACCACAACCAAGTAGTAATGGCCAATTGCTAAAAATGGACTTCCTTCACTGTCCATCTACCTTTTACTTATGGCCTGCCAACCTCAAACACTGTAGGGCAGGCGGATCTAAAACTTCCTACGAAGGACCTTACAAAACACTGCATCCACGCTGCTACTGTGGATTTCAAAATCTGAGGACCTTGTTGGATGAGCTGGTTTTA